AGAAGAAGAAGAAGAAGAAGAAGAAGAAGAGGAAGAAGAAGAAGAAGAAGAAGAAGAAGAAGACAAACTAAGACGACTACGAGGACGAATGGGACGACGGGAAGCGGAGAGATGCTCCCTGGAGGAGGGGGAGGGACAGAAAAGAAGAGGAGAGAAGCGCGAGATTTATTTGCCCGAATTTCGACTGGCGGCCGATGCCGTGCCCGCTTCCAAGGAATGCATTTCGCATTCGGGGTCTTCCACGGAATATGTTCTGCAAAGGGGTTGAGGTTTCTGCTTCGATCGGCTGAACCAGTCACCGAGGTTTGTTATTGTTTTCAGGGGGCCACGTTGACCGTTCTTGCGCTTGTCTCTCGCTAGTCGATCGTGTCGGCTTCCAGGATCTCGCAGATACCCTCCTCCTTTTTTTCTTTCCCCCCTTCTTCCTTCTCTCGCGAGGAACTAGTCGATCGTCCGTCCAGCGGTTGTTTCTGCGTGAAACCAGTAGCTGAAGGCTTATTCGGATGACGTATGGGCCACGATACGCGACGTAATTAGTATTCCATCCAACGAGATCTCCAAGAGATCCGTGTATCTCCCCGGAAAACCAGTTGGAAATACGCGAAACACGTATTCGTATTCCAACTTTAAGCGTAGAATACTTTCGCGTCGAGCGCCATTTCGTTTTTAATCGAATCCGATAAAATCCACTCTATTACGTCAGACATCGGAACTAACAGATATCGCCGAATAAATTTTAACACGTAATTTTAAGAGATTAAAAAAGTATTCAAGTCTGAATACTTCAACTCGTAATAATTTTGATACAATTCACGACGAGCACGATTTTCGAAACGATCGGCAAAAGCCTCATCTTTATACTTTTCAACAAGACATCATAGAAATGCTCGTTCTCTCGAATGTTTCGAAATGTCCTTTGCCCCCTCCCCCCACGAGAGAAGGAACCGCGAAAAGTGTTTTCGATTAATCGAAAGGAGAGAGAGGTGCCTTATATCGGGGGGAGGATCGGTGATGTATCGTTTCCGATCTGGCTCCCCCCTCGAATCGGCGCTATTAGGCCGTTGCCATCGTGGTCGTCGCGGTTTTTATCCACCAACTCGGGAGGATTCCACGGGGCTGTGCGCTCGCGATTCGTGTCCCGTAAACGATGGCATGCGCAGCGTTTAACTAATGTGCCCGAGGGGCCGCTCCAAAGATCGAATTGATCCACCAATCGTGGGGAGACTTAGAGATTTATGTCGACGAATGATTCACGGCGTGATTTACAGCGGATTGTCCCTCGCGCGCATACTGATTGACCATTTATTCCCGCTCGGCCCCTCGGCTTTATTGGGTTGAAAGGGTGAAATCTCCGATCGGGTGACCACGATTCTCGCCAAAAGTGTTTCGAGGGGAGAGAAGGGGATTTATATATATATATATATATATATATAACACTTCCTGGTACGATCGAGAAGAAGAAAGCAGTGGTTCGAAGGAGGCGGGCTATTTAGGAAGATTTATGATCGTGGTAGTCTCCCTTTTGGTAGCCTCACCTTTCCTCGAGTATGAGTTAATCCGGAATCATCCTGTATTATTTTAAATTCTTTTTTCTTTGTTATTCGCTCTGATAGAAAAGATTAGACCAGAAGAATGTAAAAAACACAGTGTTGTCAATTTATCAATCAATAGATAGCTTCAATGATAATACTTCATACTTCAACAATTCGTCGATCACCCTCTCACTTTTAATTTTTTAATATCTGCAATTCTTCTGTAGAACGGACACACGAATCGTTTATCTGGCGAAATATTTTCCACGTAGCGCGGAAAATCCCTTTTGCTTCGAGAAATAATGGAGGGAACGGCTGGGGACAGCAGCCCTCGAACCCGTGTTTTCTGTCGGCGAGCCTCTGTTCCGAAAGTCCCGCGGGACCGTTCTTCCTCCTTTTTCCTCCTTTTCCTTCTTCTCTCTTCCCCGACCATCCCGATTCCGTGGCCTCGATCACGAAGGCAGGGCACGCGTCT